ATGGAAACAGCAGGTATGGCCTGTTTCAAGCAGCTCAGCAGTGACTGGAGAGAAGTTTGCTAGCTGAAGCGGGATGTAGCAGGGATCATTTTTTTCTCACTTGGAGGAAACTTGCGGCTTTGTGAACTAAGGTAGTAGAGTCAGAATTCTTAGCGTGGCGAGGAGGTCCTTTGTGATCTACCCTGTGGCTGCTCCCGCAGCATCCCTTCTTGATGCAGAACCTCTCAAGCTGTCGGCTTCAGCACAATAGACCGATAGAACGGCCTTGCTCCCCTGCCTGGCTCCCACGAGCCACGTCTGCAGTGCTCACCGTCACTGGTGCTCAGGACTGCCCACACCCCCCTTGCCAAGCATCCCACAGCCTGTTATTCAAAGGGCTCAGGGACCAGCAGTGTGGGCTTCATCTGAGAGCAGAATTTGGGGCCCTTCCCCAGGCCTCCTGAAGTAGAGTCTGCATTTTTACAAAATCCTCAGATGATGTAGATGGTGCTTTGAAAGTTAAAAACTGTTTGACAAGACTACCAGCCCCGGAGAGCAGCTATGGTATGTGGTGTTACTGGTCTCTCCAGTGCCGTGCCAAGTGTCTTTGCTAATTATTTGACCAACAAATGCTGTTTTCATTTATTCAACATGTCTAATGAGCCCTGTATAGCACGTGCTGTTTTAGTTAAGGGAATCGTCAGCAAACAAAGTAGATAAGGTTCCTGCCCTTATGAAACTTGCATTGTAAGAGACAAACATGTAAACAAATAATTTAAGTAAGATTTTCAGATATTGATATGAAGAAAATAAAGCAGTGATGGGATATAAAGTAACAGGGCCAGCATGGTGGTGCATACCTGTAGGCTCAGCTACTAGGGAGGCTGAGGTGGGAGGGTTACTTGACCCCAGGAATTAGAGTCCAGCCTGGGGAACATAGCAAGACCCCATCTCTTAAAGTAAACGTTCCTTACTACTTATGATTCAAAAGACATGATTAAAACTGATCATAATAATAAAGTAACGGGGGAAGGGCATGGAGGATCTATTCAAAATATATTAGTCTTAGTCCATGCCAGTTGAGCTGAGACAAGAATGGCGAGGAGAGTTGGCTTGCCTTGTTGCAAATGCAGAAATAAATCTGGCATGAAAGAAGCAAGGCAGATGTTGGAAGTGATGAGATCAAAGAGGTGAGCAGGGGCTAAATTGTGTTGGACGGTGAGTCTCAATGTTACAGACCCGCTGACCCTTAATGCAACAGTGTATCATAATGCCTCCTTTAATATTCTGAAATGAGTCGTAAGCACTGTGGGCTCCATTCAATGATCTATCTGCAGTGTAAAGAACAAATTAAAGAATGTAATTTTAATAGATATGTCAGTTTGTTCAAGTTTTCTCATGACATTATAAGGCATAAAGTCAGACACAACTTAATACATAAGAGCTTTGTAGATGTGAGTTGTAAATACAGACTGGGTTCATTGGTGCTCATGCCTGTGGGGCCCATCTCTGGGTAAAGTTTGAGCAAAATACAGTGCAGTCTTCCTTCGATTTTCATGGCGATTACATTCAAGAAGAATTCATAGTAGGGTAAAAATGTGCAAAAATTACTTTGTGTCTAATATAGCGAAGTTCTAGGCTCAGCTAGTTATAAACAGATTTCTGACTTCTATGGGTGTATCTAATGGAATACTTGAAGGCCTTGCAGAATATAATAGAATATGTCTTTGTGGGGGAGTTTTCTCTGTCTCCCAGGACATTTAGGATCTTTGGGCCCCTATCCACCAAATGGCAGTACGAGCCCTCTAATAATTGTGACAACTGAAAAGATGCCTCCAGAACTTCCCTTAGGAAGTTGGCACTACCTGTGCTGAGGACCACTGACAGTGGCTATAGGCAGTGGTAAGAAGTTTGGCTTTCACTCCCAGGCAGTGGAGCCATCAGAGGGTTTCAGATGGATGAGAGAAGCGGGGACATAGTCTCTGGCTTCCGAATGGAGAATAGACTTCAAGCAGAGAAAAATAACCTGGAAGTATAACTGGTAGAGCAAGGTCTTAGAGACCAAACAAGGTGATCAAAGATGGGGATAGTGGAATTTGTTTAAAAAAAAAAAAAAGGATCGGGCAGGGTGACACACGCCTATAATCCCAGCACTTTGGGAGGCAGAAGCCAGAGGATTGCCTGAGCCCATGGGTTTGAGACCAGCCTGGGCGATTTGGCAAGACCTTGTCTCTACAATAAATCAAGAAAAATTAGCTGGGCATGGTGATACACGCCTGTAGTTCCAGCCACTTGGAAGGTTGACGCAGAAGGATCAGCAGAGCCCAGCGGGTCAAGGCCTCAGTGGCCGTAAGCATGCCACTGCACTCCAGCCTGGGCAACAGTGAGACCCCAAATTTTTTTAAAAAAGGAAAACTTCCTAAGTTTAAGAGAAGGAAGAAAGAAAGAATGATGATATAAATACATTTTGAGATAAAGATGGGAATTTATAGCTCACTTTGGGTGGCCTCAATTGTCTCCATAAAACAAAGGATATGGTTATCTGCCCACTGGGGCCGAATTGAGGTAAAGGATGGAGAGGGAAAGAAACTGGATATAGCCGTCAGGAGGAATGTGCCGGGGAATAACCCAAAGAAAAATGAAGAGATTTAATAACAACAGTCAAGACTCAAAGTGAGAATATGAAGTGATGTCAGCCACCTTTGGCATGTGGATTTCTGCAGCCTTTCTTGGCAGATAAGGGGCCAAGAAAGGGATACTTCGACTTGTTTGGGATCGGTGGATCAGTGTGGTATGAGGTCAGAATAGTGAGAAACCCAAAGGTACTAGTGAGACTCCTGCTCCAAGTGCTAAAATGGCTAATTTTTTTTTTTTTTTGAGTTGGAGTCTCACTCTGTTGCCCAGGCTGAAGTGCAGTGGCACACTCAAGGCAGTGGCAGCCTTGACCTGCCGGGCTGGAATCACAGGCGTGCACCACTACACCTGGCTGATTTTATTCTTTATTTTTTTGTGTCATAGAGACAAGGTCTTGTGACATTGCACAGGCTGGTCTCTAGTCCCTGTGCTCAGGCAGTTCTCTCACTTCCACTTCCCAAAGTGCTGGGATGACAGGTGCAAGCCACCACACTCGGCTTGAAATGACTGTGAGTGTAGTTCAGGCTAGAACTCAAAAAGCAGGTGAGATCAATAGGAACTGAGAAAACAGGAAGGAGCAGTAGGTGAAGGCCACAGTGAGGGCAGGGACCTGGCTCAGTGCAGAACTGGAAGAATGGGAATTCGTAGGCAAAAGATGCTTCCAAGTTTGAGATGTTAAAGGAAAAACAGTTTAAAGTGATGGCAAGATTCAGGTCCGGCAATGCCCATGAGCAGCCAAGGGAGAAGATGAAGATCGTGAGAGGTGAGGCAGTCAGCCGCCGGAGACCTAAGCACACTCTGCTACGAGTGCCCAGAGAAGGGTTCTCGTGTGTGACGTTTCATTTCTTGTTCTTGTATTTTGTGATTTCATTTCATTTACCTGATATTTTTGGAACAGTCTCCTCATATTAAAGTAGAAACGTTTATGAAGTCAAGGACTTTCTTTCCCTCTCTCTCTCTCCCCCCCCACCCTCCCCTCCATCAATAATTGTTGAATAAATAACATGTCACGTATTTGTTAAGTACCTACCAGAAATATACAAAGTGCCTTATACATATAGTCCTAACTTTGCAAGCAGGTCTTTTTATTCCACTTTACAAACTAGGATGCTGACTAGAGAGGCAGCATAGAACAGAGATGCCAGACTGTCAGGATTTGAACCCAGCTCCGCCCTTTACAAGCTGTGTGACCCAGGACAAACTATTTTTACTCTCTGGGCCTCAGTTTCCTCATTGATAAAATAAGGATTTATGGTAGTACCTGTGTCCTAACATTGTTACAAGAATAAATTGGCCAGGCTCGGTGGCTCAGCCTGTAATCCCAGCACTTTGGGAGGCTGAGGTGAGTGGATTGCCTCAGCCTGTGGGTTCGAGACCAGCCCGGGCAACTGGATGAGACCTCATCTCTACAATAAGCCAAAAAACTAGCCGGGCATGGTAGCATGCACCTGTAGTTCCGGCTACTGGAAGGCTGAGGCGGAAGGATCACCAGAGCCCAGCAGGTAGACACTGGGGTGGCCGTGAGCGTGCTACTGCATTCCAGCCTGGGCGACACAGTGAGACTCCAACTCAAAAGAAAAAAGAAAAGAATAAATTTATATTTACATAGTAATGGCTGGCACATAGTAAGAACTATATATGCGTTTTAATCAAATAAGCATAGGCAGTAAGGGTGAGAGTTGGGTTCAAACTGAGTTTTGCTAACTCCAGCCTTTCCCACTACATCAAGAAAGTATCGTGCCACATCATTATATATGACGTTTATATGCCATTTAATAAATTGGGGAGGGACGACGAGGTCTTACTATGTTGCTCAGGCTAGATTTGAACTCGAGATCCTCCTGCCTCAGCCTACTGAGTAGCTGAGATTGCTGGCTCGTGCCACCATGCCTGGCTTATGTAATATTTTTATCCAAGAAATCTAGTCTTCTTATAAATATTAACTTTGTTTCTAAGCATCATAATGTTCACTCTTTTGGTTACAAAATTTGCTTGTGGCACATGGTTCAACATTAGGCCCAAGGACTAAGAAGATCTTCCAAAGGATAAGTTTCTTTCCATATGCACAGGGCAGATACATCATGTGTAATATTAATCACTAGATTTTTGCAGGTATTAAAAGTTTGATACGCTCAGCCTGGGCAAGCCTTACTAATAGAAAAAGTGCACTTTGTATGCTTTAATTCAAAGGGTAATTAGACTGCCTTCCTTAGTTACCTGTGTGTCATTGGGATCTGAGTCATACTGAGAATTAGTGGTTGTTTTCTAGTTGTGAGAATGCATGATCACTGCCTTGAAATACAGTCTGTCTCGTACACATTTTCCTGTCATCATGTGTAAGGTCAGCAATTGTGACACTTTTAATGACCATTCTTATTTCATTTTAGATTTTATGTTTACAATAAAAAGAGACGTCTGGTCAACACACCTTACGTGGATAACTCATATAAGTGGGCTGGTGGTGGATTCCTGTCTACGGTGGGTGACCTTCTGAAATTTGGGAATGCAATGCTGTATGGTTACCAGGTAGGGCTGTTTAAGAACTCAGATGGAAGTCTTTTACCTGGATACCTCAAACCAGAAACAATGGTCATGATTTGGACTGCAGTCCCTAACACAGAGATGTCTTGGGATAAAGAGGGGAAGTACGCGATGGCATGGGGTGTGGTGGAAAAGAAGCAAACATATGGCTCTTGTAGGAAGCAGCGACACTATGCTTCACACACCGGTGGAGCAGTGGGTGCCAGTAGTGTCCTCCTGGTCCTTCCTGAAGAACTGAATGCAGAGGCTATAAATAACAAGGTTCCCCCGAGAGGAGTCATTGTCTCTATCATATGTAACATGCAATCTGTGGGCCTCAATAGCACTGCTTTAAAGATTGCCCTGGAATTCGATAAAGACAGATCAGACTGATACTTAACATCACAGATGCAAAATGAGCTGTTTTGTTTTTTTGAAACATTCACGTTCCAAATTACATGAGATTTGTAAGAATCAATTTGTAATAGTATAATTGAATGCAGAGAATTATGTACCTCTAACTTCTTAATTTTGTAACTGTCTTTTATTGTAGCATTAACTCTTTATACTCAGGGAAGTAACCATATTGTTTTTACTTTTTGAAAAAAGTATTAGCTCTTGAAATAAAGTATTCTAATAAAAATATGTACTTTCTGAATGTGTAATATAGAGAACACCTTTTAGTATGGCAGCAGAAGCAAAATGATGAGAAATGGTATATTAGTTACCTGTTGCAGCTTAAAAGAACAAATGTAGTCATCTCACAGTTTCTGAAGCTCAGGAAGTCAGGAATCATACAGTTGGGTGGATCTGACCCAGTATTCTCTAGTGAGGTTGCTAACAGGGTGTGACAGTCATCTGAAGAAGTCTCTGGGGCCAGAAGAAATGCTTCCAAGATGGTTTCCTTTGATCTTACAACTGTGAACTTTAGAGAAGTCATTTGCTCCTCACATGTGAAACACAGTGAAGACAGATAACAGGATAATTGTTATACACCCTCCTCAACAAGTGGTGAAATGGAAGACATACAGGAGTTCGTGGCAATTCTGAAGTTCAACTGAATGTAGATTTTCAGCTCCTGAATCAATACTCAAGGCCTGGGAATAGTTCTTGGCTCTTGGTTCTGTTCTCTGGGCTCTTGGTTCCGCACTCTGAGTTACTGTTTTCTTATGAAAGATAGTATGTGTTTCTAGCTGAGTGGTTTTCTTATCCTGCTTTCTGCTTATAGAAGTTTGGGGTCCCGAAGGCCTTTTTGTGCTCTGTCTTTTCAGTCTAAGCAGTGTTTCTGCCAATATGATTTTTGTTTAACGTTCGGATATCCTGCACATTTTATTGGAGTTTATGTCACACCCCAGACTCCCTTCAAAATAAGCCCTTCTCCAACTTGGGATTCTGCTGAGATAATTGGAGAAAGTATGCTAATAATCTAATAAGCTCTGTAATTTAAATAGTTCTCTAGGGCTTCGGAGTCTTAAGAAAGGATCTTAGAGTCACACCCTCAGCTTCATCCTTAGACTTTTCCTGATGCGCTCTAGGTTTCATCTTAATTTTAGCATCCCTTGCCATCTGAAGAGTCTGGGAATTTTTTAATCCATCAACTGCTGATTGCTTTGTGTTGACTAGTCCTTCCCTAGTGTATCTTTCTTTATTTTTGAGTTGGAGTCTCACTCTGTCACCCAGACTGGAGTGCAGCGGCCGCTCCCGGCCACCGCAGCCTCGACTGCTGGGCTTTGGCGATCCTTCCACCTCAGCCTTCCGAGTAGCTGGAACTATAGGCACGCGCTACCATGCCTGGCTGATTTTTGATTTATTGTAGAGATGAGGTCTCGCCATGTATCTTTCTCTTGGCCTGTTCATGTAAGCAACAAGAAAAATTCAGGAGGCACATTCAACACCGTGTCTAGAAACCTCAGCTTGAGCACCCAGGGCGTAAGTCACATTTTCTACTTCCTAAGGTACTGCAGGCGACAATGTTGCTAAACTTCCTGCCACAACAAAACAAGAGTCCCCTTTCATCTCTGATAAGATTTCCCTTACTTTCCTTAAGTCCATATCTGCAGCCTCCTTAAAGGCCATCATAGTTGTAAACCATTTCTTCAAGGCTCTTTAAGTTTTCACTATCACCCCCTTCAGAGTCCTTCCAACTTCCATCCATTGTTCTGTTCCAAATACACACATATACACACATGTAATTCAGATATAATTCACAGTCCACATATCATAAAACTCAATCTTAAATGTGTACAACTTGGTGGTATTTAATATAGTCATAAGAGACTGAGTGCAGTGCCTCGTGCCTGTAATCCCAGCACTTTGGGCAGCCAAAGAGGGTGGATTGCTTGAGCCCAGAAGTTTAAGACCAGCCTGGGCAACATAGTTAAGACCTTGTCTCTACAAAAAAAACAAAAAACAAAAAATAAAAGATGACCCGGGGGTGGGGGTGTGCACCTGTAGTCCTAGCTACTTAGAGATTGAGGTGGAAGGATCGCCTAAGCTCAAAGGTTGAGGCTGCAGTGAGCTATGATTGTGCCACTGCACTTTAGCCTAGATGACAGAGTGATACCCTAACTCACAAAAAAGTATAGTCACAAAATTGTGCCCCCTTACCACTATCCAATTCAAGAACATTTTCACCAAAGCAAGAAATCTTTCCTCATTAGCATTCACTCCCCATTCCTTTTTCCTTCTAGCCCCTGAAAACCAGCAATCTTATTTTCTCTCTCTGTTTTGTTTTTTAAGAGACAGAGTCTTGCTCCATTGCATAGGCTGGAGTGCAGTGGCACAATCATATCTCACTGCAGCCTTGAACTCCTGGCCTCAAGCGATCCTCCTGCCTCCCAAAGCACTGGAATTGCAGGTGTGATCCCCCACACCCAGTCTACTTTCTCTTTCTCTAGATCTGCCTGTTACGGACATTTCATATAAAGGAATCATACAAGTTGCAGCCTTTTGTGTCTTGAGCTTTTTCATTTAGTATGGTGTGTATTTGTTATCTGTTGCTGCATAACAAATTACCCCAAAACGTATCTTGCTGTTTCTGTGTTTCAGAAGTTTGGAAAGAGTTTAGCTGGGTGGTTCTAGCTCAGGGTCTCTCATGAGGTTGCTGACAAGATGCCAGCAGGGGATTCAGTCATGTGAAGGGAGGCTTAACTGTAGCTGGAAAATCTGATTCCAAGATCAGTCATTCACGTGTCTGTAGGCAGGAGGCCTCAGCCACTTGCTGGCTTTGGCAAGAGCTTTCATCATCATGAAAGTTTCTCATCACATGGTCCCCAGAAGCCTGCTAGCCTGTGCTACAGCTCCTTTCAGAGCAAGGGATGGAAGAGCCAGCCAAGAGCCACAATGCCTTTCAAAATCTAGCCTTGGAGGTCATAGGCCATCATTTATGCCAAATTCCGTGGGTCACAGAGACCATCCCCAACTCAGCATGGGAGAGGACTGTACAAAGTCATGGATACCGGAAGGCAGGGACCCTTGGGAGCCCTCTTGGAGACTAGAGTGAACACACTGGGAGTTTTGATGTAATAGCCCTAGATGACATATTCTGGAGGTTACCAATGTGCCACTGAGTTCAGGAAAATCCAAAAAGAAATCAAAGTTTTCAACAATAAAACTGTTAAAAGGAGGGTTTTCTATCATTAACTATTGGTTTGTATCATTTTATTATTTTAGTTATTATTTAGTTATTCTATAGTTTTATTATTTTCCATAGTGGTATTAGTAAAACTAGTAAAAGAAGGATTTCCTATAGTTTTGAACCCCAATTCTGTTTCTTCACTTTCCACTTTAACCTATAAAAGGAAATAGATGAGCTGGGTACGGTGGCTCACACCTGTAATCCTAGCACTTTGGGAGGCAGAGGCAAGAGGATTGTCTGAGCCCAGGGATTTGAGACTAGTCTGGGCAACTTGGTGAGACCTCATCTCCACAGTAAACCAAAAAATTAGCCAAATGTGGTGCTACATGCCTGTAGTTCCAACTACTTGGAAGGCTGAGGCAGAAGGATCACCTGAGCCCAGCAGGTTGAGGCTACAGTGGCTGTGACCGTACCACTGCACTCCAGCCTGTGTGACAGAGTGAGGCTCCAACTCAAAAAAAAAAAAAAAAAAAAGTAAATAGAGGGATATCTCCAAGTTGATTGAAGCATAAAAGAGAGCAGTTCCCTGAAACATCCATCTCACCTCATTTGACTTAGAACTATCTCTAGGTCTTGTATTAATTGGCCAAACTTTTCAATCCATGCCCTCTGATAAACATGAAGATGTCATGCCTTTCTTTAATGTTACTTGGAATTTTAAATAAGTGTTAAATCTTGTGACTAGGCCAGGAGTGGTGGCTCAAGCCTGTAATCCCAGCACTTTGGGAGGCTGAGGCAGGAGGATTGCCTGAGCCCAAGGGTTCGAGAACAGCCTGGGCAACTTGGTGAGACCTCGTCTCTACAATAAATCAAAACATTAGCCGGGCATGGTAGTGCGTGCCTGTAGTTCCAGCTATCTGGAAGACTGAGGCGGAAAGATCACCAGAACCCAGCAGGTTGACACTAGGTTGTCCGTGAGCATGCCACTGCACTCCATTCTGGGTGACAGGATGAGACTCTGACTTAAAAAAAAAAAAAAAAAATCTTGTGACTAAAAGCAAATCAAATTAATGGTAATTTTGAAATGTTTCTGATATTAAATGATACATTAAAAAAATCAGATCATGTGATATCGATATAAGCTTTTGAACCTTTGCGCAGAGAACACGGAATGAAAGACCAAGGCCTAGAGCAGCCAAAGGGGTGGTATTTACATTAGGGGAGAAGGATGAGGGAGGAGCGCTCCGTGGGCATGCTCGGGGCTGAACTGCAGGGCTAGGAGGGTCCTCAAACGTGAAGAGCCCTGTGATCTGAGTGAGTGCATATTATGAGCAAGGCAGTCTTTTTCGGGATTCTTGTTGAAGCTTTGAGAAAAGCTCTGAACTTTTTCAGAAAATGAGCCGATATGTAGATGTCAGGGAGCACAGAACCAATTAAGGATTCCTTTTTAGTATTTTTTGCCATGGTAACTTCTTTTTGTTGTTGTTTATATATACATTATTTTAAAGATGGGGGGGTACAATTTAGGATTAGGTATTCAAGTGGACATCATACAGGTAAAGCTTAGGCCTCCCTTTGGTTTGAGATCATGTACCCTTACCGACCCCAGTAGTATCCCGCGACTGCCAATCCCTTTCTTATAGTATTATGGTAAATGTTCAGAGTGAACATATGGAACTCTGTTCTTTGTTTCTATGATAGGTCACTGAGTGACTCTACATCCACCCAAGTTGCTGTGAAGCCCGTATGTTTGTCCTTCTTTATGGTTGCATAATATTCCATTGTGTGTATGTACCATATTTTTTAATCCAGTCCAGTTTTAATGGGCAGCATGATTGGTTCCATGTTTTTGCTATTTTTTTTTTTTTTTGAGTTGGAGTCTCACTGTCGCCCAGACTGGAGTGCAGTGGCCACTCCCGACCACCGCAGCCTCGACCTGCTGGGCTCCGGCGATCCTTCCGCCTCAGCCTTCCAAGTAGCTGGGACTACAGGCGTACACTACCACACCCGGCTAATTTTTGATTTATTGTAGAGATGAGGGCTCGTCAAGTTGCCCAGGCGGGTCT